CGGACCCTTACTAAGCAAACCCAAGGATCGTCAGCATCTTACCTGCTGCCATCTTCGTCATCCTCATGATCATCTGCGCGTCGGAAGCAAAGCATCATCAGCACCAGACTTAATTTTACAGTGGTTTGTCATGTCCTCCTAGTATTTTGTCCTTGGTGTTGTGTATGACTCAGGCTGACGGTGAATCTGTCAAGCCATTGGCTTAGTTTATGCTCGCGGTCTTGCGTGACTGTTCTCCATTGCCGGCTGCCCTCCAGCTTGAGTCTTCCAATTCTGAGGTCGTCGCGCTCAGAACGGAGTTCTTCGGTGCTAATTTCTGCTCACAGACCTCGGCTCTCCGCCGATCATCCATGTGCTTCCCTTCGCCAGAGCGGACTGCTGCCGTGTCGGGTACACATCACATGTGAGAAGCATTACAACGTTGCCTGTCCATGGATGTGCCTTTGCCACAGCTGGGGCGAGATCGTAGTGCAACAGCTTGAACATTTCGCGGCAAGCATCCTTGCCCGGACAAGCTTGGAATAGGGAGTCTGGGTTTGTATGGCTTAACTTGATGCACGCCCAACACTAATGCATTGACACGCTGACACTCTGGTCACTAGTAAGAATGTGGTGGGTACAGAATGAATTACAGAACTGACCGAGAGAATTCTGGCTACTCCTCGCATCCTTGCTCTGAGTCTCCTCCTCCGTCGGTGGAGGATATCGCTTCATGTTGCGCAATGGAAACCTCAGCTCAAGTCGTACCCAGGCTGGGTCCCATTTAAGACATAGCTGAAGCAACATCGAAACTCTTCAACCCCGCTGTAGGAACTTCAGATAATGGTCGGTCATCAGTGGAGGACATGAAACGGGCTCTCCATCCTAGACCCCCGAGCGGGGACCCGAAACGCAGATCTCGAGAGTCTGACACTCTGGAGCATTGCTCCTGCTAATAAACCCGAAGGCTACTTTTGATTTTCTGATCTGTGTTCTTTCGTAAGAAAGACCGGCCTGCAGGCCAATTGTGGGAGTTTCAGAAAAAGGGGGAACCCACACAAAAATCTTAAGTCCTGCATGAGTACAGTGGTAGGATCCTGATTTCCCATTATTTCCTGAAATCCCATCTAGAGTCTAGAGATATTTAGAGGTCTCCCAAAGCCTTACGTTGACTGTTTGCTGACAAGCGACTCTACAGGAGGCAGCGGGTAGGCGAAGCCCACCTTGGTTCGTCATGTGCCGAGGGGGCTGCAGCTGGAGTCTTCAGCCATGCAGACCGATTCACAAGGGACTCGACTGCCCTTTCGCAGCGTGCTTGCCTCGTGGCTCGGGAACTCCCTCTGCCCAGAACGTGTGCGGTCGAGTCCTTAACCGCGAATCTTCCCTGACTGTCCACGCTGAGGACTGCCACATTGTCTGGATCGGGCTCTTCACGGGCTGGCAGGCTTATCTCCTCGCAGCGCACGCTTTCGGTACCCGAACTTCCTCTAGCATTTGCCGCCACCACGCCTACACTGAGTTCTGCGAAACAGGGTCTTCATCCTGTTCAGAAGGCCAAAGCCGCTCCTCATCTGGGCCCAGCACGATGGAGCTGTGATATCTACCTGCCAGCTCCACATCGTGTTGCGCAGCTCGTGCTTTTTCTGCGCCATCGTACCCTCCCTTGCTTGTGTAATCATGCATTGGACACTTATGAACAGTTCTGCATGTCTGAACTGGTCTTACACTTCATGGAATCCTGGAAGTGAAACATGGCAGCAGCACCCCAGCCCTCCCACATCTTCAGGTGCTTCAGCACCTGAAGAACGGGCCGTACGTACGATGTCGCAGAGGTGTCTGTATCGGACTACTGTATTTGTCCAAAGCAATCAATTACATTGACATGTCTGTCTGCACTCCGTGGATGACAGCCGGCCGCACCTGCAGACTGTGTGTAAGCTTGTCTTCTGTCGGCACCCACGGGTGGGTTGCGTAGAACTGCTGAAGCTGGATTCGGAACACGGTAAACCGGCAAACCAGGACTTGTCTTGTCCGGGTGCCTCCTCCTGCGTTGCTGCTGCCTTGGCATACTCTTTGGCCTTCGCAAGGGCCTCCTTCTCCTGGTGTTTGGAATCCAACGAGCCCACTATCCCGTGCTATTCTAGCCGCTTCTTGTCACGACGAGTGGTGGATGCAAGGGCGCCAACACACTCACAGTGACCGCCGCCTCGGCGGACATCCCGAGGACTTACCCTGAGCTCAGGTGCTTTAACGATACTGCTGCGACTATGACAGCACGCTGTAGGTGCAAAATACAACAAGCATCAACAAGCCCTAAGCCCTAAGCAATCGCAGCCACGCTCTCTAGAAGGCATGAATAGAAGCGAGGACCTGGAGAGAGAAGTAGAGAGACGCAGCGGTTCCTGCCGCGAGTACAGGCTCTGGGGACAAGGCCCGGAGTCCAGCCGCGAAGCTGTCGACTGGCGGGGCACCCGACTGAATGTCAAGGATGCGAAACGGCGGCAGGGAACGGTCGCAATGGCGAATGGGTGATCTGGCTCCTCCGGGCACCATGGAGGGACTACACCCGTTTGACAGCATGCTCGTGCACTCTGTAAATTCGCGCCACTTCAGCTTGCCGACCCAAGACCCAACCACATGCCAGAAAGGGAGGTGTAAAGAAGAACAGGGAGTTCTGCCTAAAACACGAGCAGAAAAGGAAGAAGGGAAACCTCGACTAGCATTCCGAAGACCGATCCCAGTTGAAGGCAAAGCAAAGCCATAGTAACCATATGACTATTGCTGAATCGTGGCTTGGGAAACAACCTGCAATCTAAGCTGGGCATACTGATGTCTGTTTTCACGCCGCAAGCTGGATCTTCTGGGCCCGGCGCATCGCTTCAACACGTCTCACATTGGCCCAGAGTCTGACAGAAGGCCGTCACCTAAAGAAGCCCACACAGCACAAAATGCATAGGGGACACCTAAATGTACAGTATAAGGCATCTGGCATGTCTTTGCCGGATATGGGTCACAATCTTAGCGGATCATCACTTCATGGAGTCAGCACTTGCCCTTGTGACTGTCGAGAACTTCGCACATGACACCACTCAACACTCATACGCACTGCTCAGCTGATCTCTCCGAGCTCTTTCTCCTCAACAGTTTTGTCCTGTCCGGGCAAAGAGATCATCAGGTCTCTCTTACATATGTGCAGGTCCTCCACCACCTCAACTCTCCATTTCGGTTCTGCCTGCGCATGCACCGCATAGTTATTGACGTTCCGAACACTGGCATGCAACATGAACCTCACCATTCAGGGCCAGCTTGGCTGCATCATGCGCAGCGGGTCTGAAGAACACCTGCTCCGCGTTGGCCTCAGCGACGCTACAGCCGCCCATTGCCGGTGATGAACTTCCGAAAAGCAAAATCTCAGCCGCTCGCCTGGCTGGGCAAACGCTGCGCGGGTGGGTCTGAATGCTTCTGCCTCACTGTCGGCGCTGCACCGGCATCAGGCCTCAGGCAGGGGGGCTTTCAACACACTCCGATTCAGCGATACCCGTAGTCTGGATGCCAGCACACCGTCTGACCAGCGGTCTGCGCACATGCTTGCAATTGCATGCACGTGTGCACTCGCTTGCAAACACAGATGCCTCTCATCAGCCGAGCCGCCCTGGACTTGGCTGAGACGGCTGAGAACCGTCGGACACCTCAAATCACCACTCGGCAAGCGAGTTTCCATGGGTTGTTCGCCCCACCCGTTCCACCGGTGTATATTGTCTCGTCTTTTATACGCTGGTTCGCCGTATCACAAGCGACCTCTCGTAGAGTTCCACTGCTACACTGCGATTGTCTACTGCACGTTTACAGGTGCACAGAATCGTGCGGAATTTGTCCCAAAATTAATGTATTGTTATGCAGGTGTCCACCTGGTCGTGTCTCGCTTGCCGTCGGCATAGCCTCTAGAGAACCACTAACACCAACGGATGATACACGAACCCATTTCTAGCTGCATGTCATGCTCTCTTTTCTATCAGCAACAAATAGACCTCCGACACACTCCGGGCACATCCTGTCATGATATGCGGCCACGTTCTGCAACTTTTGCTCTCCCACACCGCAGCTCTGAACACGCCGTGAGAGTTCCATGCAATCCGCCAGCCCACAAGAAGTTGGAGTCGTGTGCAGCTCCCACATCAGTCGGCTTGAGTTACACGCAACAGATGGGCTCCAACTCGGGCATGGCATTCCGAGCTCCGGTGCTTGCAAAACGCCAGTCATCGAAGCTCAATAGAACTTTTGTGTGTGTGCTTGCGCCCCGTGCGCAACGCAGCTGTACAAGGCAACTGTGGCAGCACTGGGGTAGGGCTTTGGGCTGACGGGCCTAGGTTCGAGGAGGTTTCACAGCGTGTCCAAAATCTGCAAGAAAGTTTCGCTGCCCACTAAAGCTGCCCTCAGCTTGGCATTTCCTCGGATGGAGCTCCCAATCACGGATGTCATGCCTGTCTTGATGCAAGACTCCGATAGTCCCTGACGTATCTCCATAACCACCAAATGCACAAACAAAGTCACTCCAGCAACCACTCTTGCTATCCCATACCTTCAAGATGCTGCTGTGAGTCTTTCATGCCCGGGCAGACCCTTCCAGCCAGGAATGTGCTGCTCCAGTCGGTCCTGCACGCTTCGATGCCGAGAAATATTTTCACAGCCAATGCTCTTGCAAGCACTGGCAAAATAACCAAAGTTCACAAAGATTTCGAGGCCCCCGACGATTCTGGTGTAAATAACAGGAAGTGAGTGCAGAAAAGCGCCGCACCACTGCGGGAGTGTCCCGAGGAAAGAGTTTCCGCGAAGTCATGCGGATCAAGTATATAAGTACAGTTCACGTAACATCTCAACCAGTTTTTGGGGAGCCATACCCCGCCTCAGCCTTTCGACCCAGAAGCTCGACAGACGCGCCTGAACAGCTGGCTCCTCCCACATTGGAGCGAAGTAGTCCGACTGGCCAGCCAGAGCCTCCTTGATCATCCCCTGTGCTCTGCAGAGATGAACGGTGACTTTATTCGTTGCTCTGCTCGCTCATGCCAGACCGCATATGCACATGTACACATGTTCAACTTCTGGATTGGTCGACTGGTACTTCACATGCTCATTACCAGTACCATATGTTGAAGTCCTGAGTTCAGGTTGCCATGCCTACTGCTAGGCATGCCTGCCAGCATGCACACACAGAGATCCAAACGCAGACACAACAAAAAGAAAACACGCAACATCATTTCAGCTTCATGATATGTAGCTTCTGCGCAGAAAAAATCAGGTACGGCTGCCATGCTGGTGCAGATCTGCGCCTGCATGCTGAAGAGGAAGTCGTGCTGCACCGCAAAGTTCAGCAGCTTCTTCGCTCTGCACGTGTCCGCCAGAGTACCGAGGAGGTCGTTCCTCCGAGCTGCTACATGTTCCTGGTTAGCCGACACCAGATTCGCGACCTCCTTGACAGAGTGCTTCTCACCGGAGCCGATGTTGATAGACGTCCCATGAATGTCACCCTGATAGCCCAGTATCAAAGCTCGTGCGACGTCTTTCACATGAACAAAATCGCGAAAATTTCGTCCGTCACCTTCTATCACCAAAGGCAGTCCTTTCTTGAGGCGGTCGATAAATTTCCCAGTTACAATGGCATATGCACCATGGGCAGGATTCCGTGGTCCATAGACCATGAAGAAGCGGAGGGACAACGTCGGCAGCTTGTAAAGCTCGTCGTTGGTGAGCATGACCAACTCGCCCATATACTTTGAAGCTGCATATGGGGAGGTAGGCATGAATGGGTCCGTCTCCGCGAACGGCACGCCCTGGTTGCCGTAGTATGTAGAAGATGCTGCATATACGACTTTGCGCACCATCATGGTTTCGTTAGCTGCCTGACGTTGTGACACTCTGCATAAGTTCAGGCTTGCAAGCCTGCATGTCGCAACAACTGTTACGTAAGACATGTGCACTACATACTGGCAGCCACCGAATTCGACTTGGGAGATTCGTTCTTGCCTCTAGCACCCGGCTCGTTCCAACGGAGTTGCGCTCGACGTTAAAGGTCCCCATGGCAGGGTTCCTTGGTGCACTGGGCCATACTCGGCCTCGGAGCTAAGTTTCAACTGCTCTGGGATTCAGCAAAGACTCTTCAGAGACGGCAGGACCTTGCTGGCTGCACCCAAGTGGAAAACACCACGTACATCCACCATGGCTCTCCTGCCAACTTCACACGTTTGTGGTTGTGAGCTCGATCGACTCTTTTGATCTTCATGGTTTTCGCTGTACAGCAGAAGCATCGACAACCGCAAACTGGTTGCTCTAGCCCTCGCCGCACCTTAGAGCCTCGATGTCGAGGATGTCTCCCAAAACAAACTGCAGGCGCGGGTGGCGGAGGTCCAGGAATTGGAGATTTCCAGTTTCCAGGTTGTCGAAGACACGCACGCGGTATCCCAGCTCCAGTAGCTGCTCGACAAGGTGGCTTCCAATGAAGCCTGCAGTTCAAGCAAGTTACTTACCTGCAATTCTCAAACGCAGGCTCGAAGCCTTCGGTGATGCAGTTGACACAGGAAGTACTGAAGCAAGCTGGGAGCCGGATCCACCAGTCACTAGAACCAGCTCTCCGTTCGCAGGCTTCGGAGTACCGAGTCTGGCATCCACACGGAGCGAGGCGCAGGGATCGACCCCCAGTTTGGCATCGGGCACTGTCGGGAAGAGATACCCCGGCCTGGCAACTCACACGCATCAGAAAGCATTTCGGTTCTCCACTGAGCTCGACTCACAGAAATCGCAAGCCCTAAGCTGGTTCCAGAAGGCCACGGCACTGAAAATCTGGAAGCCTTCCGCTCCCAAGGACCTTAGAATCCAGAAACATCTGCAACCAACTGTGATCAAGCCCGTAACTTTCAATCGAACTTGCGTAAGCATTAAAATCCACCACGCAAGGCACCATGAGCATCACCCACAGCCCGGCCAGCGCGATGCCGAAGACCCACTTCCAAGAACCTGCGTGCACCTGAGATGCTGCACTATACTTCGGCTGCAGATGGTACGGCGACTCCTGCACACTACTACTGCTGCTACTACTACTACTTCTACTACTACTACTACTACTACTACCACTACTACCACCTACTACCTGTTACCTACTACCTAGTACGTATTACCTACTGCCTACTACCTTCTATACCTGGTACGTACTACCTACTACACACTACGTGCTCCCCTCATCTCCCCTCTACTTACGGCTTACTGCTTACGACTACGACTACCACGACGACGACTACTACTTACTACTTACTACTTACTACTTACTCCTACTCCTACTCCTACTCCTACTCCTACTACCACTACTACTACTACTACTACTACTACTACTACTACTACTACTACTACTACTACTACTACTGCTCCTAGTGCTGCTACTACTGCTACTACTACTACTACTACTACTACTACTAC